AGGTGATAGCAGGGCAGAGAGGGAGCTCAAGGACACCGTGCGGTGTACGGACCTGGCACAGGAATGGGAAACCCTTGGTGAGAATGGCACGTATATGGCGACACCTGATGATGAGAGGTGTTAACCAGGAAAGATGGCATGGGAGGGGTGGAGGTGAGAGAGCATGGTCCCTGTGGATGAATGCATAGAAGTGGCAGCTCTCGCAGCCACCCCACCCTGTCCCGTTCCTCCTTGCTAGGAGATTCCTGATCTTGTTCTGGGTAACACACCTGGTCCCAGTGGAAAACTGTGACTGTCCAAGTCAACTTCAATCATCCCGCCCCTAGAGAGTTACCTTAGCAGCCTCCCTTGCAGCTAGGAGTAGCCACATGGCTGACCCCTGGGAAACGAGGTACAGATGTTGTCTGGGGCCTCTGGGATGTCTTGTACTTTCCTGACAAAAGGGAATGTGTGCGAGGAGAGCCCTGCTTCTCCCGCTTCATCCAGCTTTGAAAATGGGCTGCGGAAATCCACCCCACCCCAACGCACTGCTGTTCAGTCAGTTCCCACTCCCGGTGACCCTGTGTCACAGAGTAGAACCGCTCCATAGAGTCTGCCTGGCTGTCTCTTCACGGAAGCAGTTGCCTAGGTCTTTCTTCTGTGGTGCAGCTGGGACGATTTGAACCACACCTTCAGGTGAGCAGCTGACTGCAAACTGTTGGAGTTGCCCAGGCACCAGCACTGCTCAACCAGGAGGAGGAACAGCCAGCATGCCCCGGGAATGACACCTTCATGAGCAGCCCGCTGGAGCCTGCGGCCATGGGCTTCTGGGGTTCTTTTCCATTCCAGTCCCTAGTTAAGCCGCTGTGGGTCTGGCGTGGGGGCGGGAGCCATGCCAACCCTCACTTTCCTCTGCGAGGCAGGAAGCCCCCACTCCCACCACCATCAGCTGTGCTGACTCAGCAGTGGTGCTGGTACACAGGGGACCTATGACTTGCACCCTTTATTTTTCCAGTATTTCTATGACACTTTCGAGTGAGCCTTCTTTTTTTAGCAGTGAAAACTATCCCTTCTTTCTTCATTTTGAAGTGCTTGGCGCCCTGGCTATCTACCCGTCTTTTCAAAATGATTAACTACGCCAGAAAATTGTAATTTCCTGCTTATGGAAATGGCCTTGGACTAACTTCAGGTTTTTAAATGCCTGTCAGCATTCCTGCCGATCTGATAACGTTATGAGCTCGTATATCTTACCACTGCGCGGCCAGGGTAGCAAACACATCATGGCTCTCGGATTCCCAGAACAGCTTCAGAAGTTCCGGATCCCCAGATAAGTGTGCGAGAATGCGCAATTCAATCTGTGCAAAGTCTGAGAAACGCAGTTTTGTTAATTCAGAATCTCCTCACGGTGCCTTCAGCGTTGCCACCCCCCTTCCTGACCCCCACAGACCTCCTACCGGCCTCCTGCCCTCCTCACTGTGCCTGACGGCTCAGCATCCTACCACCCGTCTGCTAGGGTCCTCTGGCCTTAGCCACGGCCCTTCCTGTGTCTCCAAGTCCAACAGGCCTCTCCTGCCCCTCGGAGGCCAGCACCAACCCCAGATGGGCTTCATGCATTCATTCATTCATTCAGTTGGTCAATATTTAATGAAGGGCCTACTATGTACCAGGCTCTGTGCTTAGTTAGGATCTATAGTGATGAAAACATCAGGAATCCTCCACGGAGCTTACACTCTAGCAGGGGGCAGGGGGCAGATAACTTAGGGCACTTCATTGGGTATGTTAAAAAGTAATAAACGAAATAGAAAAACAGCAAAGGAGCTTCAGGAGTGAATATGTGTGTGTGCGTGTGTGTGTGTGCCTGTGCAGGGAAGTTGCTGTGATAAATAGGGCAGTCAGCAGAGACCTCATCAGGAAAGTGACATTTGAGCAAAGGCAGAGAGGAGACGAGGAGGGAGCCAGCACAGTGTGTGGAGTCGT